TTCTCTCATGAAATTTGGCACAAAGTGATGAGCCATGATCCAGCTTTGCTTGCAAAGACTGAGATGCTTCTTTTATACCTAGTGATAGGAAACTGAGGCTTTCATGAAATTGTGCCAAAAAATGGTTCATTACTCGAAGCTTTTAACACAGTGTGCATTAGCGACATCTGCTGGTCGGACTTTGTTTTCTCCACCATTTCTGACATCCTCGCGGAGCAGTGGATGGTTTGAAAAGCACGTGACCAAAAGTTTCGGAAGTCTGACATTCAAGAGTGCAAACAGTCTGGGATCAATTTGATATAATCTCATCTAAATTAATTTGTGCCAATGAGACCACAACTCGTGTCATGTATAGCTTGGTCAACGGATACATATCGATCAATAATATAAAATACACAAACGTGATCATAATTAATAATTGACGTGGGTAGCTGAAAAAAAATAAATTGTGTGAGCTGTTATACCCTTATGGTGTGTTCGGGATCTCTGAGACCCCAGTTATAAACATGATTAAATGTCCTACTGACAGCCCTCAAAATGACTGAATAATCCTTTTATGCATCAGGTGGAATCGTGAAGCGCCAGTTTTTTCTCAAACCAGTTGTCCCGACCTTCTGATACTGCATGACGTTCGAAGCTTCAAACATCATGCAGTGCTGCGGAAAGTTACTCTTAAAAGTAATGCATTACAATATAGCGTTACTCCATAAAAAAGTAACTAATTACGTTACTTAGTTACTTTTTATGGAAAGTAATGCATTACGTTACTTTTGCATTACTTTTTAAATCTGGACAGGGCTTGCTTGTTTGTTTTTAAAATAAAAAAAGTTATATTTTTGGCAAATATAAAAGCCTTTTCACACCAAAAGTGAAATGAATAAGCCTCAGGCTGAAGGGAAAGTCAATTTACATCCATACAGTAGAATGAGTAGACTGAGCCTGGTTTCTCCCAAGATTTGTTATTTCCCTCTCCATTTCTGTCACTGATGGAGCATATTTGTCACAGTTATGCTCAGTTTCATGGTTCTAGTTTGTTTGACCTGGTTATCCTGTTTTTTTTTCTTGCTTCCTTTGTTTTCCTTGTTCCCGCTTCTCATTTGTTGCCAAAGACACTAATTATGTTACACACCTTTTTCTTGTTTTACCCCCTGTAAAAACACCATCTGTCTATCATGCCCTCAGTTTGTTCAGTTTTTTTTTGTCTTGTGGCATTTACGCTGCCATATGCCATTTCTTTTTCTCTGTTAATAATTATTAATAGTGCTACAAACAGATCCTTCCTCCTCACAATGCCTGACCCACCATGACAGAACACAAGACCTCACCGTGGATTTAACAGCAGAGTTCTCTACACTCACCCACAAGGTCTGTCTGCTTCAAAATGACCAACCTTTGGAAGAGTATAAGCAGTACTATTTGGATTCTTACAATCAGGTGCACTG